AAAAAAAAAATCATGTTTTACACCTTACATATGTACAATTTCTATTTGTCACTAATACTTCAGTAAATGTGGGACAAAAAAAAACCCAGTGACAACTCAGGCATCCTTGGCGGGATTATAAACTTTACATACACTCTGCAAAATATTTTAGCGGTTTCTCTTAAAACTAAAATTGCAGTTGTCATATGAGTAAACAATTGAACTATTTGGCAATTTATCCCAGCATATTAAAAATGTATGTTCCCACAAAACCTCTCCATAAATGATTACAAGTTTGTTCACAAAAGCCACAACCTGGAAATGACACATATCTTTCAAAGTGTGAATGATTAAAGTAAACATAGCACACTTATAACATAGAATGTTCTCTGCAATAAAAAGGACCAATCTATTGATACATGCAAGAGTTTGAATCAATCTCCATGGAATTATATTGAGTGAAAAAAACTCATTCTCAAAAGGTCACTGTATTATTCTGCATGGACTGCCATAGCAAAATATCACAAACTGGGCGGCTTAAACAAAAAACACTTACTTTTTCACATTTCTGGAGATTTTAAGTCCAAGATCAGGATGTTAGCAGGGGTGGTTTCTGGAAAGAATTCTCTTTTTAGAAAGTAGAGTGTCACATTCCCCCTGGACTTCCCATGGCCTTTCCTCTGTGTGCACGTGGAGAAAGAGAGCAATCTCTGGTGTTTATTCCTCTTCTTATAAGAGCACCATCTTACAGAATTATGGACCCACCCTCATTTAAAGTGAATTACTTCATGAAAGGCCCTATCTCCAAATACTGTCACATTAGGGGTTGGGATTTCAACATACAAATTTTGAAAGAACATGTCAGTCCATAATAGTCTGCCCTCTGACTCCACAGACTTTGGGTCCTATTCTCATGTGAAATACATTCACTCCATTCCAACAGCCCCGAAAATCCTTTACCCATTTCAGCACTAATTTCATGTTCAAAGTCTCTTCTATATATCATGTAAATCAGGTATGGGTGAGATTCAATGTATAATTTATTCTGAGGCAAATTCTCTCCAGCTGTGACCCTGTGAAACCAGAGAAGAAATGTGCTCCAAAATACAATGGTGGGACAGGAATAGGATATACATTCTCATTCCAAAAAATGAAATTGAAAACCACTTAAAGGTCCCAACCTAGTCCAAAACGTAACAGGTCAAATCCCATTAGAACTTACTCTTTTTCTTGCAATAGTAAATGGGAGTATTTCCTTAATTTCTCTTTCATATATTTCATCATTAGCATATAGGAATGTAAGAGATTTCTGTGCATTAATTTTGTATCCTGCTATTTTACAAATTCATTGATTAGTTCTAGTAGTTTTCTGATAGAGTCTGTAGGATTCTCTATGTATAGTACCATGTCATCGGCAAACAGTGACAGCTTTACATCTTTTCTGATTTGGATTCCTTTTATTTCTTTTTCTTCTCTGATTGCTGTGGCTAAAACTACCATAACTGTGTTGAATAATAGTGGTGAGAGTGGGCAACCTTGTCTTCTTCTTGATCTTAGTGGAAAAGGTTTCAGTTTTTCACCATTGAGGACGATGTTGGCTGTGGGTTTGTCATATATGGTCTTTATTGTTTTGAGGTAAGTTCCCTCTATGCCTACTTTCTGGAGGGTTTTTATCACAAATAGGTATTGTATTTTGTCAAAAGATTTTTCTGCATCTATTGAGATGATCATATAGTTTTTCTCCTTCAACTTGTTAATATGGTGTATCACATTGAATGATTTGCGTATATTGAGGAATCCTTGTACTCTGGGGATAAAACCCAAATGATAATTGTTTATGATCATTCTAATGTGCTTTTAGATTCTGTTTCCTAGTATTTTGTGAGGAGTTTTGTATTTATGTTCATCAGTTTTATTGGCCTGTAGTTTTCTTTCTTTGTGACATCTTTGTCTGGTTTTGGTATCAGGGTGATGGCAGTCTCGCAGAATGAGTTTGGGCATCTGCCTCCCTCTGCTATATTTTGGAAGAGTTTGAGAAGGGTAAGTTTTAGCTCTTTTCTAAATGTTTGATAGAATTCACCTGTGAAATCATCTGGTCCTGCATTTTTGTATGTTGGAAGATTTTTAATCACAGTCTCAATTTCAGTGCTTGTGATTAGTCTGTTTACATTTTCTATTTCTTCCTGGTTCTGTCTCTGATGGTTGCACTTTTCTAAGAATTTTCCCATTTCTTCCAGGTTGTCCATTTTATTGGAATATGGCTGCTTGTAGTAATCTCTCATAATCCTTTGTATTTCTGCAGTGTCAGTTGTTACTTCTCCTTTTTCATATCTAATTCTATTGATTTGAGTATTCTCCCCTTTTTTTCTTGTTCAGTCTGGTTAATGGTTTATCAATTTTTTTTTAACTTCTCAAAGAACCAGCTTTTAATTTTATTGATCTTTGCTATTGTTTTCTTCATTTCTTTTTCATTTCTGTCTGATCTGATCTTTATGATTCCTTTACTTCTGCTGACTTTGGGGTTCTTTTGTTTTTCTTTCTCTAATTGCTTTAGGTGTAAGTTTAGGTTGTTTATTTGAGATGTTTCTTGCTTCTTGAGGTAGGAATATACTGCTATAAACTTCCCTCTTAGAAATGCTTTTGCTGTATCCCATAGGTTTTGGATCATCCTGTTTTCATTTTCATTTGTTTCTAGGTATTTTTGGATTTGCTCTTTGATATCTTCATTGATCTCTTGGTTTTTAAGTAGTGTATTGTTTAGCCTCCATGTGTTTGTATTTTTTACAGGTCTTTTCTTTTTATTGATATCTAGTCTCATAGCATTGTGGTTGGGAAAGATACTTGATACAATTTCAATTTTCTTAAACTTTCCAAGGCTTGATTTGTGACCCAAGATATAATCTATCCTGGAGAATGTTCCATGAGCACTTCAGAAGGAAGTGTATCCTGTTGTTTTTGGATGGAATGTCCTGTAAATAAAAATTAATGCTTGTTTAATGTATCCTTTAAAGCTTGTGTTTCCTTATTTATTTTTATTTTGGATGATCTGTCCATTGGTAAAACTGGGGTGTTAAAGTCCCCTCCTATGATTTTGTTACTGTTGATTTCCTCTTTTATGGCTGTTAGTATTTGCCTTATGTATTGAGGTGCTCCTATGTTGGGTGCATAAATACTTACAATTGTTATATCTTCTTCTTGGATTGATCCCTTGATCAATATGTAGTGTCCTTCTTTGTCTCGTAATAGGCTTTGGGGTTTTTTTTTTGACAAATAGACAAAACGTCTATTTTGTCTGATATGAGAATTGCTACTCCAGCCTTCTTTTGATTTCCATTTGAATGGAATATCTTTTTCCATCCCCTCACTTTCAGTCTGTATGTGTCCCTAGGTCTGAAGTGGGTCTATTGTAGACAGCATATATATGGGCCTTGTTTTTATATCCATTCAGGCAGTCTATGTCTTTTGGTTGGAGCATTTAATCCATTTACATTTAAGGTAATTATCGATATGCACGTTCCTGTTACCATTTTCTTAATTGCTTTGGGTTTGCTATTGTAGGTCTTTTCCTTCTCTTGTGTTTCCTGCCTCGAGAAGTTCCTTTAGCATTTGTTGTAAAGCTGGTTTGGTGGTGCTGAACTCTCTTAGCTTTTGCTTGTCTGTAAAGATTTTAATTTCTCCATCAAATCTGAATGAGGTCCTTGCTGGGTAGAGTAATTGTGGTTGTAGGTTTTTCCATTTCATCACTTTAAATATGTCCTGCCCCTCTGCTCTGGCCTGAAGAGTTTCTTCTGAGAGATCAGTTGTTAACCCAATGGGAATCCCTTGTATGTTATTTGTTTTATTTCCCTTGCTGCTTTTAATATTTTTTCTGTGTATTTAATTTTTGATAATTTGACTGATATGTGTGTTGGCGGGTTTCTCCTTGCTTTTATCCTGTATGGAACTCACTGTGCTCCCTGGGCTTGATTAACTATTTCCTTTCCCATATTAGGGAAGTTTTCAACTAAAATCTCTTCAAATAGTTTCTGAGTCCCTTTCTTTTTCTCTTCTTATTCTGGGACCTCTATAATTCAAATGCTGGTGTGTTTAATGTTGTCCCAGAGGTCTCTGAGATTGTCCTCAATTCTTTTCATTCTTTATTCTGCTCTGGAGTAGTTAGTTCCCCTATTTTATTGTCCAGGTCACTTAACCGTTCTTCTGCCTCAGTTATTCTGCTATTGATTCCTTTTAGAGAATTTTTCATTTCTTTTCTTTTCTTTATTTATTTTGTGATACGCAGGCCTCTCACTGCTGCAGCCCCTCCTGTTGAGGAGCACAGGCTCTGGATACACAGGCTCTGCGGCCATGGCTCACAGGCCCAGCTGCTCCGCAGCATGTGGGATCTTCCCAGACTGGGGCACGAACCCATGTCTCCTGCATCAGCAGGCGGAGTCTCAACCACTGCGCCACCAGGGAAGCCACACTTTATTTATTTTGTTGTTCATCTTTATTTGTTTTCTCTTTAATTCTTCTAAGTCCTTGTTAAATGTTTACTATATTTTCTCCTTTCTATTTCCAAGGTTTTGGATCATATTTATTATCATTACTGCGATTTTTTTTTTCTGGTAGACTGCCTATTTCCTCTTCATTTGTTTGGTCTGGTGGGTTTTTACCTTGCTCCTTCATCTGCTCTTTGTTTTTCTGTCTTCTCATTTTGCTTAACGTACTGTGTTTGGGGTCTCCTTTTTGCAAGCTGCAGGTTCGTAGTTCCCTTTGTTTTTGGTGTCTCCCTACAGTGGCTAAGGTTGGTTCAGTGTGTGGGTTGTGTAGGCTTCCTGGTGGAGGGGACTAGTGCCTGTGTTCTTGTGGATGAGGGTGGATCTTGTCTTTCTGGTTGGCAGGACGATGTTCAGTGGTGTGTTTTCATGTGTCTGTGACCTTATGATTTTAGGCAGCCTTTCTTCTAATGGGTGGTGTTGTGTTCCTGTCTTGCTAGTTGTTTTGGATAGGTTTTCCAGTACAGTAGCATGCTGGTCGTTGAGTGGAGCTGGGTCTTAGCATTGAGATATAGATCTCTGGGAGAGCTTTTGCTGTTTGATATTACATGGAGCCATGAGGTCTCTGGTAGACCAATGTCCTGAGCTTGGCTCTCCCACCTCAGAAGCACAGACCTGACACCTAGCCAGAGAGCACCAAGACCCTTTCAGCTACTTGGCTCAGAAGAAAAGGGAGAAAAAAAGAAAATAATGTTAATAAAATAAAAACTAAGCATTAAAAATATTTTTAAAAATAAATAGTAATTTAAGAAAAAGGGAGAGGATAGAACCAAACCAAATAATAAATCCACCAATGATAACAAGTGCTAAAAACTATACCCAAAAAAACCCCAAAACAAACAAAAAACAAAAAAAGACAGACTGAACCCAGGACAAATGGTAAAAGCAAAGCTAGACAGACTAAATCACACAAAGAAGCGTACACATACACACTCTGAAAAAGAGAAATATATATATATATATATATATATATATATATATGTATATCATTGCTCCCAAAGTTCACCACCACAATTTTTTGGATGATTCTTTGTCTATTCATATATTCCAGAGATGCAGCGTACATCAAGTTGATTGTGGAGATTTAATCTGCTGCTCCTGAGGTTGCTGGGAGAAATTTCCCTTTCTCTGCTTTTTTCGCACAGCTCCTGGGGTTCAGCTTTGGATTTGGCCCCACCTCTGCATGTAGGTCTCCTGAGGGCATCTCTTCTTTGCTCAGACAGGATGGGATTGAAATAGCAGCTGATTATGGGATTCTGGCTCACTCAGGCTGGGGAAGGGAGGGGTATGGAATGTGGGGCGAGCCTGCGGTGGCAGAGGCCAGTGTGAAGTTGCAATAGCCTGAGGCGCACTTTGTGTTATCCTGGGGAAATTGTCCCTGCATTACATGACCCTGGCAGTGGTGCTCTGCCCAGGCTCCCAGGAGGGAGTTATGGGTAGTGAACTGTTCTTGCACACAGGCTTCTTTGTGGCTGCAGCAGCAGCCTCAGTGTTTCATGCCTGTTTCTGGGGTCCGCTCTGATAGCTGCAGCTCGCACCAGTCTGTGCAGCTTGTTTAAGCGGTGCTCTGATCCCCTCTCCTTGCGCCCCCCAAGACAATTGTCTCTTGCTTCTTAGGCATGTCCAGAATTTTTCCCGACTCCCTCCCGGCTAGCTGCGGCACACTAGCCCCCTTCAGTCTGTGTTCACACAGCCAACCCCAGTCCTCTCCATGGGATCTGACCTCTGAAGCCTGAGCCTCAGCTCCCAGCCCTCACCTGCCCCGGCCGGTGAACAGACAAGCCTCTTGGGCTGGTGAGTGCTGGTTGGCACTGATCCTTTGTGCAGGAATCTCTCCACTTTGCCCTCTACACCCCTGCTGCTGAGTTCTCCTTCGTGGCTCCAAAACTTCCCCCTCCCCCATCTCAGCCAGTGAAGAGGCTTCCTAGTGTGTGGAAACTTTTCTTCCTTCACAGCTCCCTCCCAGAGGTTCAGGTTCCATACCTATTCCTTTGTCTATGTTTTTTCTTTTTTCTTTTTCCCTACCCAGGTACGTGGGGAGTTTCTTGCCTTTGGGGAAATCTGAGGTCTTCTTCCATTATTCAGTAGGTGTTCTGTAGGAGTTGTTCCACATGTAGATGTATTTCTGATGTATTTGTGAATAGGAAGGTGATCTCCATGTCTTACTCTTCTGCCGTCTTGAAGGTTTCTCCCCCATTAGATCTTAAGACTTAATAATAATCCTCTTTGCTGGATGCTCTGTCCCCCAGGCCCACTGGAGTAATGACCTCACCTTCTCTACCCTGTGTGGTGACCATTCCCCCTTGGCCATGTGTGGTTACTGCTGCTGAGGGTCTGGCTGGATACCACCTGACCCACTGAAACAGAAGGTGTAGCCTCATCCTCTGAAACTAAAGGAGAAATAGCCCTGCCTCTTGGGTCTATGCATTCTAAGTCTGTGGTGGCATTTATTACCTTACTGATCTCTGAATCACCCTCAGTGTCATTCTTCCTTATTACTAAAGGATAAGGCATGTTTGAAGCCAGATATTTCTATTATCCCATCCTTCCTTCTGCTAAGATGTCTGATTAAAATGGGTAATCTCTTAATGCAGTGATTGTCCAGCCATATTGTTGGAGCTTTCCCCAGAACACACTTTCTCATTTTTATTTTGCAATATGGATAGGCTGGGAAATTTCCAAATATTTAAATCTAGAATCCTTTGGTTTGATAATTTTTTTTATTATTTGTATTTCTCTCCTCTCACATTTTACAATTAGCCATAAGGAAAACCCAGACTGAAATTTCAGCCTTTGACTTAGTAATCTCCTCAGCTAAGTTTCTAAGTTTATCACAAACAAATCTACTTTCCCCCAAACAGTAGAACATAATTTGGCCAAGTTCTTTGCCACTTTTAAAAAAGGATCACCTTTACTCCAATTTCCAATAGCATGTTTCTCATTTTTGTCTGAGATTTCACTAGAAGTATCTTTAATTTTTATATATCTAATAACATAGTGTTCATGATGATATATGCAGTCTCTAAGATAATAGACTCTACATTTCTCTTTTCTCTCTGAGCTTTCACAAGAATCAACTTTAATGTCCATGTTTCTAACAGTCCCTACAATTCAATCTAGCCTTTTTCTAGCATGCATCTCAAAGCTCTTGTAGCTTCTACCCATCATCCAATTCCAAAGACAATTCTACACTTTTTTTTAGATGTGTTACAGCAGTACCCTAGATCTGGTACCAAAATCTATATTAGTCTGTTTGGGCTGCCATAACAAAATACCACAGATAATGCGGCTTAAACAGCAAACATTTATTTTTTCACAGCTCTGGAAACTGAAAGACCAAGATTAAGGTGCTAGTAGGATTAGTTTCTAGTGAGATCCCTCTTCTGGATTGCAGGCAGCCATCACTGACTGTATACTTACATGGCCTTTTCTCTATGCATGAACTGAGAGAGAGCTCTGGTATTTCTTCCTTTTCTTATAAAGACACCAGTCCTGTCAAATTATTGTCCCACCCTTATGACCTCAATTGACATTAACTGCTTCCGTAAAGACCCTATTAGTATGTATAGTCACATTGTGGATTAGGGTTTCAACATATGAATTTGGGGGTGAAAATTCAGTCAATAACATTAAAATACTTTATAATTCCATAGAATAGTTCTATTTAAATGACAAAGTTAAAGAAATGGAGATAAAATTAACGATGTTGATGTGTCAGGGATAACTGGAGGTCGGGGGGTAGGGAGATGAGTATGTCTGTAAAAGGGCAACAAGAGGGATCTTTGTGGTTTTAGAACTGTTTTATATCTTGATTATGCCAATGTAATTATCCTGGTTGTGTTATTGTACCAAATTTGAAAGAAGGAAACTGGGTAAAGGATACACGTACTGTCTCTATATTATTTCTTACAACAGCATGTGAACCTTAATTTTCTCAAAATAAACAATTTAATTTAAAAATATATATTTTCTAATTATGTCCATTGCAGAAAACTAAAAACAATAACACACCCAGCATCAGTAAACTCCCCTGGCACTGAAATCATAGTTTCAACATAATATTGCCTACTAATGATGACAGAACTCTTTGGAGAAATGGCTGACATTTATTTATTGTTTTACCATCTTTATTGGGGTATAATTGCTTTACAATGGTGTGTTACTTTCTGCTTTATGACAAAATGAATCAGTCATACATATACATATGTTCTCATATCTCTTCCCTCTAGTGTCTCCCTCCCTCCCACCCTCCCAATCCCACCCCTCCAGGCAGTCACATAGCACTGAGCTGATCTCTCTGTGCTATGCAGCTGCTTCCCATTAGCTATCTACCTTACGTTTGGTGGTGTATATATGTCCATGCCTCTCTTTCACTTTGTCACAGCCACCCTTCCCCCTCCCCATATACTCAAGTCCGTTCTCTAGTAGATCTGTGTCTTTATTCCTGTTTTACCACTAGGTTTATCATGACATTTTTTTTCTTAAATTCCATATATATATGTCAGCAGACGGTATTTGTCTTTCTCTTTCTGACTTACTTCACTCTCTATGACAGATTCTAGGTCTATTCAACTCATTACAAATGGCTCAATTTCATTTCTTTTTATAGCTGAGTAATATTCCATTGTATATATGTGCCACATCTTCTTTATCCATTCATCTGATTATGGGCACTTACGTTGTTTCCAACTCTGGGCTATTGTAAATAGAGGCACAATGAACATTTTGGTACATGACCATATTTGAATTATAGTTTTATCAGGGTATATGCCCAGTAGTGGGATTGCTGGGTCATATGGTAGTTCTATTTGTAGATTTTTAAGGAACCTCCATACTGTTTTCCATAGTGCCTGTACCAATTCACATTCTCACCAGCAGTGCAAGAGTGTTCCCTTTTCTTCACACTCTCTCCAGCATTTACTGTTTCTAGACTTTTTGATGATGGCCATTCTGACTGGTGTGAGATGATATCTCATTGTAGTTTTGATTTACATTTCTCTAATGATTAATGATGTTGAGCATTCTTTCATGTATTTGTTGGCAGTCTGTGTATCTTCTTTGAAAAAATGTCTATTTAGGTCTTCTGCCCATTTTGGGATTTGGGTTGTTTGTTTTTTTGTCATTGAGCTGCATGAGCTGCTTGTAAATTTTGGAGTTTAATCCTTTGTCAGTTGCTTCATTTGAAAATATTTTCTCCCATTCTGAGGGTTGTCTTTTGGTCTTGTTTATGGTTTCCTTTGCTGTGCAAAAGTTTTGAAGTTTCATTAGGTTCCATTTGTTTATTTTTGTTTTTATTTCCATTTCTCTAGGAGGGGGGTCAAAATGGATCTTGCTGTGATTTATGTCATAGAGTGTTCTACCTCTGTTTTCCTCTAAGAGTTTGATAGTGTCTGGCCTTATATTTCGGTCTTTAATCCATTTTGAGCTTATTTTTGTGTTTTGTGTTAGGGAGTGATCTAATCTCATACTTTTACATGTAGCTGTCCAGTTTTTCCA